CAAGCTGACCTTGAACTCAGAGATCCACCTGTCTCTGCCACCTGAGCACTAGTCTGGCTGCCAAAGTAATCTTTATAGATTATAAAGCTTCAGACCATTCTCTTTAATTCTCCTAAGAGGCCAAAGCCCTCAGGATGAATGAATGCCTTTGTTATCTGACCCGTGCTTACCTTTCCAACCTTACCTTTTCCCAGCTCATTACAATTGATGCAGCTCTGTATCTAGGCTTCTATTCTTCAACTTGACTGCAATTCAAGACACCTTCTAGACGAAGCCAAAAAGTATTTAATTCTCCCTGGCCATTTATGCACTCTTTGTTCATAAATACTATAATTATCTATATTCCAGCTGAGCCATCTAAAACCAAATGACTAAAGACACTGTAGATATTTATAAGGGGAACAGACTCAATACACCAAAAAGTAACTTCATGACTGAAAAAGTGGAAACAATTGAGTTATTTATGGTCATTAACTTACCTCTGAGACAAAATACCTTGACAGCATAATTAGGAACAAATCAACATTTGCTTGTTTGTCAAGATGTGACTTAACTTGTGTTTCTATCCACTACTTGCTGAGGCTATAGCTCAGTGTTACAAGGAAAAATAGAAGAGCTGCTTGGGCTGGAAAAGATGGTGCAGCTAGGACCTGAGTTTGATTCCCAAGCACCCATGGTAGGAGGCTTACTGAGGCTTACAACTGCATGTAGTTACAGCTATGGGCAATCTAACACCCCTAGTCTCCAGGAGCACTCACGTGCGTATATGCACACACATTTAAAATTAATAAAATATTTAAAAAAGGAAAACAAACTGCTTTCATTATCATTTGATGGCAAATGCCTACATTCCCAACCACCATGAAGCTGAGACAAGGCCGGGAGCCACTTCACAAGATCCTCTCTTCAAGCAAAACTTAAAAGAACCAGTGATGCACTTTCTATATTTATAGCAGAGCCTTGGGCTCAACCCTCAGTACCAAAAAGAAAAAGAGAGAAAGAGGAAGAGAAACTGACTTTAAATCTGCTGTTTTAAAGGAAGAACCACTTTTCAACCTTAGCTGAAACTAAAAATGAAGATAGGATAACTTGACCCATGGCAGACACTGTCCTAATTACGTTAAATCTCCTCTGATTTCAAAGTTATACATTGGAGTCAGACTGAACACTAACAGACTGACAAATTGTCTATCCTAACTGAGGAGGTCTAGACAGAAGATCAGGAGTCCTGATGTAGCCTATGCTATGTGAGACCCTTGCCTCACAAAACCAAAAACCAGTAACAAAAAAGTTAGAGGAAAACTGAACAGGAATGAAGAGCTATAGGGGGACCAGTGCAAGCCAAAAGCCACAGCTCTGAGGCCAGCCGGGCTACACAGTGAACAGAGAAGCTACGGTGAAATCTGTCTCCAAACAACACATAAAAAGTAAGACAACAACAAAAACTGAAACAGGTCAGGCAGTGGTGTCTAATGCCTTTAATCCCAGCACTTGGGAGGCAGAGAAGGGGGACCCTTTATGAGTTTGAGGCCAGCCTGATCTGTAGGCAGACTACAAATACAGTTCCAGGACAATCACAGCTGTTAAACAGAGAAAGCTTGTCTAGAAAAACCATTAAAAAAAAAAAAAACCTGAAACAGAATCTGGTCTATTCTGTTTTCTTTAAAGTTGCAATAATTGACTCCAAATATGATTAACTGATCAACAAAAAAATAGACCAAAAAATAGTAATAATGATAATCCTTTAATCCCAGCACTCAGGAGGCAAACAAAGGCAGGTGGATGTGGTTCTCTGTGAGTTCAAGACCAACCTGGTCTACAAGAGTGAGTTCCAGGACAGGCTCTACAGCAATACAGAGAAACCCTGTCTCAAAAAAAAAAAAAAAAAAAAAAAAAAAAAAAAAAATACAAAAGATACTGAAGCTATTTCATTTCTAATCACTTAAGCTGAGTTGAGTCAGAGCTGCCCTCATTCTTTTTTAGGCAATAATGACGTAGTCATTTTATAATCACAATGGACATATGAATTAAGCTAAATTGAACACTGATATAAAGGAGTATGGACAGGGCTTGTTGGTATTGCCAAGTTTTATTCGCTCCAGTTCTTACTGAGAACACTACTCCTAGGGTGGTTGACTGATACTCCCTGAAAACAATAATTCAGACAAGCAAACCGAGCATCCTGTTCTTTCTGAAAACAATAACACATCTGACTTCTGACAAGCGATTAGAGAAGTCAATTCAGGTTAACCACAATGGATATTTGCCTACTCATTTTTCCATAAGCACATAAAATATTAGTGTATGGCATAACCATACAGTAGTGGACAGACGGACGGACCTGAGGGAAAGGAGGCAGCAACCCTAACAACTTTCAATTGTCACTGGGCTTTTGTCCCCCATTTGACGTTTTACTAAACTCTATTTTCATTTGTTTCTCCAACATATATTACACATTTCATCCCCGTAACCTTAAAAAACACGATTTAAACATCCTTTATTTTTGAATTAGGAAAGCAAAAAGCCATGGTGTTTGCATATAATCATGGGTTTTCTAACCTTCATGAAAGAGCATTCACTGTGTTTTTAAAAGGTTACTACTTACCTGTAACTGTTCTCCAAAACAATCTTGAGATGCTTCCAAGCCAATTTTAGGTGACAGAAGTATAAGCTTTGTCAGGACACAGGAACAGCAAAATCTGTTGTTTCTTTAAATACCACTTGCCCATTAACGTCATGACGTCTAGAAAAAGCCAATGTCGCCTAAAGTGCTCCATAAAAATAATTTTGAGTATCTTCCAATTAAGTGTCATATATATATATATATATGTTTTTATAGAAACTATATTAAACAACCATTGCATCATGGGAATTATCGCTAGTAATAAATGTGCTCGGTAAATTATCTTAAACAGTTAGTACAAGCCAGGATGTATAAACCCATCATAAAACAGGAACGTTTTGGACAATTAATTTCTGGAAATAAAACCCAAGTAAACTTTGTAATGTTAAAGGTAACCAACAGTAAGGTTAGAAGGGGCAAAAGGAAACTGGCTGTTTTTCTTACCCACCTGTCCATACTACACACACACACACACACACACACACACACACACACACACACACTTGTAACACGCAGAAAGTGCTGATTAAGCTTATCCCTTCCTCTAATCTACATGTAGGCAGCATCAAGAATTACGAAGCCACAAAGTGAACATAGCAAAGTGAACTTAATGCATATAGCTTTCCAACCACGTGTGGATGGATTTAAAAGATCTGAACTCCTAAAACTAGTGAAACGTTTAAAAAAAAAAAAGGGGGGGGGGGGAGGTAATCTACACACACGCGCACACTTTCTAAGTCAGTCACCAGGACGTACAACTCTAGGAGGGTAAGACGAAATGACAGAGGGAAACTTCACCAATTCAATTCCCAATGCCAGGGTTGAGATATAAAGTAACAGCAGCGTTCCTCCAGACCCTTGCGGGTCCTCCTTCCCTCTGACAATCTAACAATCTACGCGAGTTTCCCGGCCGCTGACCGGTGAAGTCTGGACGGCTGGCGCGTACCGTTGAAGCCCGGGGCTGCAATGCGCTCGGTTTCCCTGGCTGACCCGAACGGATCCCAGGGCACACCCGTGTCGGAGAGGAGAGCGGTCCGATCCGACAGAAGCAACGTAAGAAAAGCAAAAACATAAAAAAATAAATAAATAAAAGAACCCCAAAGCACAGCGGCGGGGCGTGTCGTCCCGACTCCCGGAGCGGCGGGCAAAGCGGCCCGGGTCCGCCACACCCGGGGGCAGCGCGGCCGCCACGTTGGTTAAGGATACAGCTCTTGCGGGGTGGAGAGGGCTCTCGCCAAGGCTGGCCGCCGCCGAATCCGGATCCGGGCCCCGCTCCTCCTCCTCCTGCTCCCGGGGGCGGCCTGCACCCCGGCTTGCCGCCTCGCTCGCCCACGCCTCGGCCCCGACTCCACCGGCTCCCGCCCCGGTACGGCCTGCCGCGGAAGCGGAAGCGGTCCAGGGCGAGGTGGCTGCGCTCCCAGAACGACGGCCGGGGGCTGCTTTCCGCCAGCGAGCCCGAAGGCATGCGGCCCGCGGGCGGGTGAGTCCGGAACGGCTCCTTGGGCCGGTAGCCGCCGTGGCCCCGGAGGTGGCCCCGCTCCGACGGGTGCCGCGGGCGGGAGAAGCTCCGCAGCTGCTGCGGGTGCGGGTGCGGCGGCTGCGACGACGACGACGAGGCCCCGGCGGCGCCGCGGGGCGGGTGGGGCGGCCTCCGCCGCGGCGGGTACGCGGCCGGCCCGCCGCCTCCGCTGCTGGCGCTGCTGCTCCGGCTGCGGCTGCGGCTGCGGCCGCGGACCTGGCTGCTGTTGTCGTCGTCGCTGATCTCCCCGTCCTCCAGCTCCCCTTCCTCCTTCGGGGACAGGCCGCTCGAGGCCGGGGCCGAAGGCTCGGCGGCCGCCATCCCGGCAGCGGCGCCGCTCCCAGCGCCGGAGCCGGCCGTCCGTCCGCCCCGGGGCCCGCCCGGCGCCGCCTCGCCCTCCGTCCTCTCCCCCGTGTCCGTGTCCTAACGGGCCCGGGCGCCGCGCAGGCTCCGCTCCCCCAACTTCCCCGCACCGCGCGCGGATGTCCCTCGCCGGGCCGGCGCTCCGCCCGAACCCGCTCCTAGCGCCCCCTTGCTGCTCTTCCGCCTCGCGAGAAAGGAGCCGTGGAGAAGGAGGTGGAGGCGGTGGAGGAGGCCGCGTCCCGGCCGTCACTTCCGGCCGCACGCCGGAAGGAGGCGGCTCCCGACTCTCGCGATGTCGCGGGAGCGCGGTGCCCGTTGGGAGTTGTAGTCGCCTCCTGCGCACGGCTTCGCCCTCGCTCCCGGCGGGGCGGTACCGCAGTCCCCGGCACCCCCGGGCCGGGTAGCGGGGTGGGTGGGGAGCGTGCGCGGCGGGCGGAGCCGCCCGGTGGCGGCGAAGACCCCTGCCGCGGCGCCGTCGCTCGGGCGCCGCGGTCTCTGCGGGCCTGCCCCCGCCATGTAAACAAAGAGCCGGGACGGGGCGCGCACGGCCGCCGCGGGCCTCGCTCGTCTGGCGCTGTGACAGCAGCCGCAGCCGTGGCGTCAGGGAGGATGCCGACCAATTGCGCCGCGGCGGGCTGCGCTGCCACCTACGACAAGCACGTTAACGTCAGCTTCCACAGGTAACGCGGGCCGGGGGCCGGGGCGGCGGCGCGCGCAGCGGCCCCGGGACACGCGGACACCCCCGCTTTTGTGTGTGTTTGGTTTGGGTTTGGGGTGTTTTGTTTTGATTTGTTTTGTTTTTTTGCTCCTTTCCCCGAGCAGAGCTGACCCCGGCTCTGCGGAAAGAAACGCGGGCCCCTTGCTGTGCACCGCGCGCCTGCCTCTGCTTTCCGCCCTCCCGCGTGTGTGTTTGTTTTCATATCTTAGGCCGTGCCTTGACACGAGTGACGCCGCCAGGGAATGGCCATTTCCCGCTCAGGTCAACACGTCCCTGTTTAACATGAGTGAATGAATGAATGCATGCATGCATGCATGCAAGCCTGCCTGCCGTGCTCGAGTTTTAAAATGAGGAAATCGTGGCTAGCCTGAGTCGCGATAGGCACGCACGGTTAACTGCGGAGCCGCTGGGCCACCCGCTTGACGGCCACGTACGCAATTGAGCAGCAGTGCCTGCCAAACCGCGGACACACGGAAGCCGGCTCTGCAACGGACCCTGGCGGCGGTCCTAGGTTCTGTGTCCCCTGCGCGGTTAGCGCCCCCGGGTCTCTGGACTCTGCCAAGCCTGACTCTGCAAAGCGTTTGAACCCTGCCTTGAATATATCTAAGGATGAGACGAAGAAAAGCAGCTCTAGGAACTTAAGCGAAAACAGTTATTTTATACACCCCACCATGTAAATTGCCGTCTCCGGATATAGAAAAGGGCCCTGACCTTTTCCCTACCTCACTATTACTAAGAGCTGCCCCCTAAAACTACCCCCCTGCTGTTTGGTTTTACACTACTTCGTGCGCAAACAGCGCTGTGTTCTTTCTCATCCCTGCTGTACTCCAGGTCCCTAAGCGCCTGACACTATGCTAATGACGGAGAAAGCCCTTACCCTCGGGGACCTCAGAATTGAATAGGAGAGGAAGGCATAATTACACTGGAGTGCTGCAGAAAAGGCATTCAAAGAGGCCCAATTTAGCATTGGAAAAGTCAAAGGACACTTCACAAAAGAGATGACAGCGGTTTGGGCCTCTGTGCCTAAGCAGTTTCTGTTTTGTTCCAAGAGCCCTTGAGAAGCTCTAACGAATGTAAAAAGAATAGCATGATTCGATTTCCATAATAAAAAAAGCCTTCCTGGCTGCAGGGTAGAGTTAAAGAGTGGTACTTAAGGTGCTAGTCAAGCTTCACCAGAGGTGAATTTGAAGAGAAAGGAGCCTATTGTAGAATGTTAATTTATCTGCTGTTTCTTTCACGGGGAAGTCATGCCATATGGCAACTGAGCTGAATACTGCTGCTTAGTTGTGGGTACAGAAGTGCTGAATTAGAGGAGGTGAGAGAGTTGAATGAGAAGAAAATAGGAAGCTGTAGCAAAAGGGAGGCCAAGCCTGGCGAGGTGATGAATGTCTGTAATCTCAGAAATGAGGAGACAGGAACATGTTACTGTGAGGCCAGCCTGAGCACTGTAGACCCTTGTCTCAAAATAAGATTTAAGTAAATGTGGGAGATCCATCCAGTGGCCTTGAACGGGATTCTCTTGGCCAGTGAGGGTGGAGAGAAGTAGACAGGTTTTGAGGAGTGTTTGAGGAGAATTTGCTGGATTTGGTAATCAGATGTGGAAGATGACAGGGAGGCGTCTAGACACAAAAAGCAATGAGGAGCCAGGTTTGATGGCTCACATCTGTAATCTTGGAACATAGGAGGCTGAGCCTGGAACCCACCCCCAGGTCCAGGCCTGTCTGGGTTACAGAATAAAACTCTTATCTGGAAGGAAAAAAAGAAGGCACTATATACATAGTGTTCATCTAATGTGAAACTAGCCTTAGAAACTTAGGTCTTGACAGTTGATAGGCAGGCACATTTCTATATCCCGTTTACATGGGAGTAGCTACAAGTATCACCGTGAGTTCAAAGCCAGCCTGAGTTACAAAATGAATTTGAGGCTGGGCTACAAAATAAGGCCCTGTTTCCAAACAGAACAAGCAAAAACAAAACAAAAATGGGTTCTAAAATAACATTATAATAAAAATATATTCCTGTTTTCATAAATACAAATAGTATTTAGTAGCTCTTATAGGACATAGATGGTGTGTGTGTGTCACTATGTAGCCTTGGCTGGCTCATCCTCGATGTGTAGACCAGGTTGGCCTTAAACTCAGAGATCTCTGCCCCTGCTTCCCAAGTATTTCCATTGAAGACATGTACCACCATGCCTGGCCAGCACAGACTTCTTTATCCACCTGAGCAATTGTGTTGCCTAGGGGCTGGAGAGATGGCTCCTGGGTTAAGAATGCTCACTGTTCTTGCTGAGGACCTGGGTTTGCTTCCCAGAACCCACATACATGACAGCTCCTAGAGCAGACCCAGGGGCTCAAACTCCTCTTGTGGCTTCCTTGGACTCTTGCACACAGTTACATTCAGGCATGTACACATACAAAATAAAAATCATTTTAAAATTATGTTGCCTAAATTTATTTTCTACTTTTTTATACATCTTAACCTATTCCAACCTACATCCCCTTCCTTCATAACCTACTAAAATTGCCTCTGTGAACATCACTTTTCCCTGTTGACTATTTGTTGTAACAGCATCTTGACTGGTTTCCTGGCTTCCACTCATGCACGTATAACCTATAGCTCCGTAGTAGCCGTTGGCTCTTCATGAAAGGGGGAAAGCCCCAGATTGCAGTATGGATCCAGTTTCTAAGATGCGTTACTTTCACCAAGCTTGGCTTCAAGCCACCAACATGACATGACTAATTGTGGGGCTCAGCAGAGACATACAATACCACACTACTCTATTGTGGTTCTGCCATATTGATGCAGTAGACATGAATAATTTTAAAAGCTAGAAATCAGGACGGGAGAGACGGCTCAGTAGCTGAGAATGTCTACCGCTCTTGCAGAGCTCCTGAATTCAGTTCCCAGCACCTGAACCAGGCAGCCCAATCTATAACTCCAGCACTGAGGGATCTAGCTTCTGGCCTCCTTGGGTCCCTGAGTTTGTATGTGCATATCCACACAAACGCACGTGACTAAAAGTAATGTTAGGAAATTAGCCTTTAATAATGGTTGTATTTGACAGCTGGTTCCGTCATCTTTGCAGGTCAGCCCATTTTGAATGTATTTCAATATTTTTGACATAGAAGACCCTCCATTTATATTTTTATCTCCTGCTCCTAAGATATTCCTATAATGCCATTATTCCCACTGAGGGCCCTTTCTTAAGGCCTTGTAAATAAAGCAGAATGTCCTATTCTGTATAGCCCTATACTTACTTCTTTACAACAGACCTATTGTGCCACTAAGCTAAGCATTTACATTTTCTAATCTTCAAAAGAAATGTGTGTGAACGTGATGTGCTGTTGTTCTGTTTTTTTTCTGACATGGTCTCTCCTTGACCCAAAAATTTCCAAACTTGATCAGTGACACAGGGTTCCACCAAAGCTGCCCTAACCCCTTAGAGGCATTTCTACCTCACGTTACAGATGATAGAAATAAAATACTTGGGGTTGGCAATGTACCTCAGTGGTAGATACTTATTTAGTATATATGAGACCCTGCTTTTCATTCTGGCACCATTAAGTCCAAAAAGGAGGTCTAAAAAAGTTAAGTAAATTTGCCTGCTGTGTCCAAATACTGTTCGAAAGGAGCTAGCTTGGTTGTCCAACAACAATGTTCTCAGCCTCTGATAACGCATTAGGACAACTTGATTATTTACCTTCTCAATTACAGTACACACTCAGAGGGTAGGCTTTTATTAATATTATTATTATTGTCACCACATCTACAGTGCCTAAAGTATCCACGCAAAATAGCATTGCTCAAACTATTGAGTGATTTTTCCAAAGCATGTAAATGTTTATAAATCCCTGAGTGTGTTGTGTGAACAAGAATATATCCATCTATCACCATCATGTGAATTTGTTGATATTTATAGGATGTTTTTATTATTATTATTTAAATTTAGCCAATGATCTACATCTATCAAATAGCATATTCAAGGACCAGACAGAGTTGCACTGACCTGTAATCCACAGTAGGTCAAGGTCATCCACAGCAACATAGTTAGTTTGTTGTCAGCCTGGCTGGGTGACATTAGAGTCTCAAAAACAAAACAGATAACGCCTGTAAAACATAATGTAAAATAATGCTCTAAGAACCAGCTCTGGTGGTACACGCCTACCATCCCAGCACTCAAGGTAGAAGCCAACAGACCCCAAATAATACCTACTGCTCATCTTTACTTATTCCCTAGCAAAGTTAAATATACTTGGTTTGACACACCATTAAATAATGACGTAAGAGTTCCTTGAAGTGAGAACAGGTTAGGGCATTAGTTAAACCAAATGGAGCTACTCACTCATGTAATCTTCCACTTGAAAGGCTAGACACGTGGACTGCAGCGTTTTAGGTTGGCCCTGGACCACATAGTCTGCTGCAGTCCAGCCCGGGTTAGGTAGGTAGGCCCTGTCTCAAAGAGCTCAGAGGGCAGAGAGAACTGAGAAATGATGAGGGCTGGAAAGCTGATCAGAACATACCTTCAGCAGAAACTCAAACTATGAACTGTGGGGTGGCAACAGATCTTCGGGGCAGGTCTGTTGTGAGGCAGGGCATTTGTGGGCTGTCGTCTATACTCCTCATCACTGGCAATGTGTGGACATTAATTCCATACATGTGGTAGGCCTAAACCACATGGTCTCACATGGGTGCTATGGCTCTTTTGATACACAAATTAGTTCATATGGAGGATGTACTAATCAAACCAAAGAAGATTTAGAAGCTGAATTTGATCCCAGACCCCGTGCGAAGGGTGAAGGAGAAAAACCAACTCCAACAGCTTGGCCTCAGACCTCCATTTGCAAGGTGGCACACGTGCCCACACACATGTGCCATACACACGTAGTACCGAAGGGCTCTCTAACATTCATATGTTTACTGTGTGTCTTTGAGAAAGACTATACGTGCCATGGCCTACATGTGAAGACAGAGGGCAGTTTGTGGGAATTGGGTTTTTTTTCTCCTCCACCAGGTGGGTCCAGGAAATCAAACTCAGGTTATGAGTGAGGTTCAGTGGTCATTTGCCCTAAATTAAAAAATAATAATAAAATGATTATAATTGAAATTTGACTATATATGGATGTTTATTCTTACATTTCCAAGTCAATTAGCAAAACTAGAATTACTGGAGTTTTCAGAAACAGCCCTTTATATTTGTGTCTTCTTTAAGCAGTATGTGTTAGATGGATGTATCTTTTGTGTTTGAAGTAAATATGAGAGGAAACCGATAACTTAACGATCCTTTGTCTTTTTTTATAATTGTTTCCTGCTATGCTCCATAGCTCCAGAAATTCTTCAAACGCAGCTTAACTATGTAGATCTCAGTGGATTATTTCTATACCCTGTATTTGCATTAACATGTCAAATTTTTGTTGAATTCTCATTGTTTGCAAGGCATGGTCAAAGATAAGCAGATAGGTAATAATAATCGCTTTCCTCAAGAAACGTGCAGCGTTGGGGGCAGCAAGATGGCGCAGAGCCAAAAACAGCTTGCTAAGGGCTAGGTCAGAAGGAACGTGTCTTCTTAAATTCTTGAAAAATAGAGCTAAGCGTTTCTGACTAATTATTAACAACAAAAATCGTAAACTGGCATCTGGAGATTGTTTCATTTTTTTTCCACAAATGACAGACTTTTTTAAGTTTAACTCTTAAGGATAACAAAAGCAGGAAAGCCGGAGTTTGAGTTGCTTTTTGTTTGCTTGTTTCAAGGTTTCCTTTGGATCCTAAAAGAAGAAGAGAATGGGTTCGCCTGGTTAGGCGCAAAAATTTTGTGCCAGGAAAACACACTTTTCTATGTTCAAAGCACTTTGAAGCCTCCTGTTTTGACCTAACAGGACAAACTCGTCGACTAAAAATGGATGCTGTCCCAACCATTTTTGATTTTTGTACCCATATAAAGTCCATGGTAGGTGATACCACTCTCCTTTCTTAACACGCGTCTTACATCCTACTTCTTTTTGTTTGTGCAAGTGAGCAGTTGTCATTGTGCTAAAACGAGTGTGTAAAGACACGCCACAAAAACCTAGAGCTTAGGAGCTCCTGACCCCAATTTTGTTTCCCCTGTGAACTCCAAACAAATTTCAGAGTTTGGACTTCTGGATGTCCAAATTCAACAATGCCCAGCAGCAAAAAACAAAACAAAACAAAAAAAAACTATGCAAGTCCTCAGTGTCTGGAACGCTCGTGGTCCAAGCACTTTGCATATGGAGTGCTTCACCAGAACTGCAGCCTTGCATAACTAAAAATTATTGTAGTTATCAGTAAATGTACCATTGGCAGAAACACAAAGATTAGAGAGAGTCACACTGCTGTGATTGTAAGATGACGAGCAAGTGATGTGCTGGTGAGTCCTTTAAGAACTCATAGTTGGTTGTGCCAAGAGAAGGTGATTCAGGTCTGGGCTTTATAAGAAAGTACAGAGCTCCCTCAGTTTAGGAGTGAGGCCTTGGGAGTTTGGAACACTAGAGGTTTCTGGCCATGCATAGGGCAATTTAGTCAGATGCTAAAACTAAAGCCAGGAGCTTGAGAGATGAGTAAGAAATTGTCAAATGTTGATTCATCTGAAAGAAAAGAGAGAATTAGGTACAGGGTGAATGAATTAAAACAAGTTTAAGCCTGGCTGGTGGCGCATACCCTAAATCCCAGCTCTCCGAGGAGGAAACACTGGAGCTCTGTGAGTTTGAGCCCATCCAGGTCTACGTATTGAACTCCAGGGCGTCCAGAGCTGCATACTAAGACCCTGTCTCAAAAACAACACAAGACCACATGGTTTAAGGCTGCAAATAGAGCTCCATGTTAGAGTGTGTCCAGAGTTTGACATCCAGCACCAGAGGAGAGAGACAGCAGGAGGAAAAAGGAAACATTGATGTGATTAGAGAGGAAAAACTGAGGAAGTCACCTAAAGAAAAGGTAGAAAACACGGGGGGGGGGTTTGAAAAGGGGAACCCTCCCACTGGGAAAGAAAAAGCTATTGGTTCACCGTGACATTGAATATAGAAGCGGATGAGAGTTAATGTTTCAGTGGGTGAGAAGGTTGTGTATCGCTGCTGATGATGATGATGACGGTGACGATGACGATGTTAGAAAGGCTGCAGAACAGCAAGGGCTTCCCTATTTCTCAACCTTCCCAATTGGAGCACCTCAAAGTTTCCCTGCCCCCGAGTATGCACTCACATATTGAAATTGGAATGCTCGGGGGTAGAGGAGGCAGGGGAGCAGTTCGTCTGCTCCATGGAAAGGTCCACACCAGCTGGGGCTTTGTGAGGCATTCTCTCAAGAAAAGGGAAGAGGGAACCTGTTTCTGACATCCTGACCATTTATTTATCCAGTGACTATGAAACTTTCCATTGTGCCAGAATCTGTTAGAAACTGAGAAAATGAAGAGAAAAGGGAAGCTCAGACATTTCTCTATAAGGAGAGACCAGTTTAGGTTTTTTGATGGTAGGAACTGTAATTTATTCAATATTATTGCCCGGGGAATTAATGTTTCAGTAAGTAGTAGTTGGGTTGTTTTTTGCTTTGCTTTCATTTTCGTTTGGAGAGACAATCTTTCTATTGAGGTACCCCAAACTATCTTCAAAGTCTCTAGCTGGTTGTTTTGTTTTGTTTTTTAAGATTTATTTTATGTGTATTGGTGTTGCTTGAGTGTATGCCTGGTGCCTGTGGAAACCAGAAGAGGACAATGGGTCTCCTGGAAAAATGGAGTCACAGTCATCTGTTAGCCACTGCATAAGTGGTGGAAATCAAATCTGGGTCTTTTGGAAGAGCAACCGGGGCTTTCATACCTAGCTGTCCTTGTCCTCCATCCCTACAGCTACCCTTCAGCTAGGCGTCCTCCTGCCTCTGCCTCAAAAATGCAAAAATGGTTTTGTTTCTTTATATTTTGGCTTTTTTGAGAGAATTCCGCTGGGTAGCTCTAGGCTGGCCTCAAACGTGTGGCATTCCTGCCTCAGCCTCCCAAGTGCAGGGTCACAGCGTATACCCTCATACCCCAAAGAATGTTTCCTTAGTAAAAGACAATTATGAGAAGATGTGGCACAGTGGGCAAACAATAACTGGTTTAAAATTTCCAAAGCACAGTGAACAAAAGGACCCTTAGCTTTCAGGGTTGAACACAAAAATGCCTAGCCAGATTTTAAATCCTTGAAGATTTAGTGTGAAGAATTCATAAGTAAATCTGTCTGGGAACTTGATACCTGAGAACAGACCTCTATAGATATGTGAGTTTTTGTTGGTATGTAGACTCCAGGTGTGAACTATTCATCAGATTTCGAGACTAATACTTAAAGAGTGGATCAGATCCATACCATAGATAAACAAGGTCTCTAAACAAATTCCAGTTTTGTCTTAGTAAAAAGACTTGAAAAAGATTTTTAAAGCCTCCAAAGAACCATATTGGATAATGTGGGAGGTGCCTGGAAAAACCACCTCTTACTTCTAAATCAGTGTTTGGGTGTCTCTGTAGATAAATGGTAACTGACCAGGCATGGCACACGGCACCCTGGTCTCCCATAGCATAGCAAGTCCCAGGACAGCCAGAGCCGTCTGTGTAGAGAGCCCATGCCTGAGAAATGGAAAGTACAAGGTGACTTAGAATTCATTCAACCTGCCGGGAAACTGTAGCCATGGTCACAGGAGATGGCATGCAGTTGTTCCCCGTTAAAGGAGCAGTTTAAATGCCGAGTTACTCACAACTCGACACTGTTTACTTATTTGTGATATCCATAATTTATGCTCAACTCTCTTTTCGGCTCAGAAACTCAAGTCAAGGAGTCTTCTGAAGAACAAGGACAGTCTTACTCCAGCTGGACCGTGTCCTTCAAAGCCCAACAGTCGGCAGGTGCTGCTTGAACACAGTTATGCCTTTAGGAACCCTCTGGAGGCGAAAAGACGGATAATTCAGCTCGAAAAGGAAATAGCAAGCTTAAGAAGACAAATGAAAACATGCTTGCAGAGGGAACGCAGGGCAACTCGAAGATGGCTCAAGGCCACGTGCTTTGTGAAGAACTTAGAAGCAAGTAGCCTGCTGCCTAAGGGCGTCGCAGGGCACATCTTGCCGCCGGCCTTACGCCTTCCGCTGGAAGACTGCAAACTTGCGGAGCGAGATCAACGAGGCAGAACATTACCCGTTCTGGAAATCTAGAACAGACAAGGTCTGCATCCAAGCTTTCCTTACACAGAACCCGATGCCCTTCTTCTCGTCTTCTCATCTTCCAGGAGACTTAGGGCCCTTAGCGTTTACTTGAAGTAACAGTCATTATGTAACTTAGACTTGAGTCTAAGGACCGTGGGGAAATTGAGCGACAACTCTGAGAAGGAGCGGAAGTGCCTTACATGAGGATCATGTACTCAGACGCTGTCTGCGGAAACACTGTTTGCTTTTTTAAACTGCTGTCAAATAGGAATGACAAATGGTATGTTCATATGAGGAAAAACATTCTACACCAAAGTTGGGATATTACATTCTAAAGAACATGCAAGGTAGGAGGAGCTAATCATATTAAATGTGAACTTAAAACTACTGGATTTTGTATTAATTAAATTATTGGGATTGTGGTTGAAAATTTATAGAATAAAACCTCTGGGGTACAGGGCAAGTTTTTGGTTTTTTTGTTTTTTAAACTTTTTGTATTTTTTTTTTTTTAACCAGTCAAAGTAAGCTTATCATGGCCTTCCTTATAAGAACATTGGACCTAAAAGTAGGTTGTAAAATAATTGGAAAATAATATTTTGAATGTGAAATGACTTTGAGACTCCAAGCGAGGTGAGGCCTCAAGTACCTCAGACTGGGAAAAGCCGGTGAGCTATACTCGGCTTCTCCGGAAATAATGCAGAATTTGGGATCTAGCTTTTACTTTAACAAAATTAATAGCTAAGTGTAAACTATTCTTTTTTATAATAAAAATACTGGATTTCCATCTTCATAACTGATAAATTAATAAACACATTAGACCTGTATGCATTTATTCCTTATATTGATAGCAAAATTCTTAAACTGTCATTTCACTTTTAAAACTAGTTTCTAATAGCCTTTTATATGTCAAAAATAGCTTTTGGCCCTCCACTTGATAAATCACAGTATAATTTTGTCACAGGAAAGTACTTTGGCTGTTATGTTAAGCTAAAGCAAACTCAATTTATATAACCCATCAACTTGCTTTTTCTTTTTCAATCAACCTTAATTCATAATGGAAATGAAATACAGTTCTATAAAACAATGTGTGTCTCTGTAATAAAGCTATGCAAATGCTGGTTACTTATAAAGTACAAGTATCGAGTTTGTTCCTCTGGCTGCCACTTGCACCTTGGAAAGGCCTGCCTTATGTCACTAAATGTTCAATTAAGAGCCCTTCCTTTAAAAAGCTTCGGCCAGGTAATGTAAAAGTGGACCCAGATAAGCGAGTTATTTAGTTCTGCTTCGTCTTTGTGAGATTACCATATGGCAGTAGCATGCCTGATCTTAAAGAACTATTAATCTTTCCTTCAAAGAAATGGAGTTTTGATTTTTGCTAACTTTTGTGTTTCTTCTTTTTTTCCCCAACCTGCCCATCTCTCTTTAGTAAGTAATGTCTACCCTGCAAACACAATGATAGGAAGTGTCTCTTTTAGTTCCCATGCGAAACTTCTACACGCTTTACAAACCTTTTGCACGTGTGATAAGCCTTGTTAGTTAGACTTGAGTATTGGATGTTATTCCTAACACTGTTTCAGATACCTGTATATCATCTTGAATAGCAACAGCAAATACACTGACTGTACCTACTTAATATAATCTGGGTAACTAACCATACTAACACGACCTATATTCTTCCAAGTGTAAACTTTCATGTGGTTGACCCGAATATCACAAGCACCAGCCACTAATTAATGTGGTCCAGTTACTACCTATATACAGTATCTTTATAACTTAATATATTTTCAAGTCATAAATATACAACATTATAAAATACAACCAGCTTTTGACAAGTTACTTAGTCTTCGTCCTTATATATGTTACATTTTAGTTTCTTTGGGATTTTGTGTGCCAGGGATTAAGCCCGGGGCCTTGTGCGTGCATACTCTACCACTGAAACATACCCCCAGCTTTTTTCATTCACTTCTATTTGATACCATTGAATAAACAATCCTCAGCAATTGTAATTGCCTGTGTGTTTCTCCATGTTATTCTCCTGACAACATGCTTCAAAATTACAACAGCTCGGTTGTACCTCACAGAGCTTCTGTTTAGCTAATGTGTCTTACAGGCTACTAACCTTTACAAGGGGGTGGGGTGGGGGCACAGCGGAGGTTAGGATCCTGATGTGAAGACGAATACCTGCGGGGTGGAAGATGTAGCTTATGTTTAGCGTGCATGCAGTCCAGAGCTGAAACCCCCGCACCAGAAAGGGGGTAAATACAACACTGTCTGCCCTTAAGTTGCTGCAAGCTTTCCAAAAGAAACAGTGTTTGGAATATAAGGTAAATTCCATTAAGAAAACAAAAAAGGGTGTAAAATGCTTTCCTACACACTGTTGAGTTGCAACTCAATGGAAAACATAGCAACTTTAGACCTTATAACAACCAAGTGATTTTCTTTTGAAACAAAACATTTCTTCTGAGAATGGCTTATCAAAGGAGCATAGAACGCTAGAGTTTGGTCTGAGCTCAGTGTTACTTGGGTTGTAAGACATTGTACCCTTTAAAAGAAAAAACTTACAGAATTGTAATGATAGCTTTGAAAGAAAAACATGGCTATAAGTAGGTCAAAGCTAAGTACTGGAGTATTTGGAACTTGATGTTTTGGGGGGAAATAACCCTAATGACAGGTTTCTGTTTAAAAAAAAAAAAAAACTTTTTTCCTGTTTCTGTACAAGCTGGAGCTGGATGCACGCAAGAAGGTATCTTTGTTTACTCACTGAAACATGACTCTGTGCTTCGTGCACCAGAAATAGAAATGCCCGTGGTCTGGAATGACCACGTGTCTTTGGCCTCCAAATCCACTCTGCCTCGTGGTTTGACCCTTTAATGTATGTTATTAAAATAGGAAAAATCATGTGTTTCTGAAACAAACTTTAAATGTGTTATAAAGAGGTTTATGGCACCCTTGTTGATGGTGTCTAGGTAGACTTCATTATGTTGTTGTTTCTGTGTTAGAATACGGGTAAATTTTAATTTTGATATCATAGAGAAATTAATCTTTATATCAGGAGTGGGATTTTTTTGATAGACAGTTGGATACTTTATAAAGTCAAGGATTTTGTAGTGTATATGAAACAACATTGTACTCACAAAAATGTATTTGAAATTTGTTAATATTAAAATGTTTTTTTCCCAAGGAATTACTGTCATCTCTTTTATTTCTAGAAGGTAAATATTTCCGGAAAGGTCCTTACCCTAATTTGACACCATAGAGTCTTCCTTCTCTCTAAGTTGAAGCACATTGTAAAACAGGTAAAAATAAGTGATGCCTTAATGACAAATTAGTTTCACATTGCTACTAAATATACATTATTATACCATTTGAATTGTTTATGCATCCTAAGTTAGATACACGAAAGACTGTAAAAATCCTTGTGGGGTTTGGCTATAGCTGAGTGAGTGGCAGAAGTGCCTACCTACTATGTACAAGGTTCTGGGTTTGATTGCTAGCATTGAAACATAATTAAAAACAATAACTGGAGCCGTGACATATACAATAATCAAAGCATCAATTTAACAGTATTCTTTAGTGTTCTAATTACAAAAACAGTACTTAAACATCTACTAAGAGATACTTAGCATATAGGAGGAACAGATGAGATGTAGTCCCTATTCCCAAATGTATAGTAGGAAAGTATTTCCATTCACTTTCCTCGTCCTTACTATTCCCCACTCTTAGGAATTAAGTGGAATTCAACAAATTGGTTTTCATGCTCCCTGTCTCCTTAAAATTTGTTCTCTAAACGTTAAAAAGAATGAAATTCAGTGTCAAGAGATGATATATATGTTTGACATAAGCTTTCAGTTCAGTGCATTCGGTAGCAAGCATTGCAACTCATCTCCGCTACGTGCTCTTCGTCCTGTGAGACTTCTGTTTTATCCCCTTAGCTCCCCGTCTTTCACAGAGGTCCCTTCTCACCCTCGCATACATGCTCACTTGACTTTTTGGGTTTTGTTTTGGTTTGTTTGTTTGTTTGTTGTTCTGGCGGAACTAGGGACTGGACACTGGGCCTCCTCCTACCCATCAGACCAGCGCTTTGCCATTGAGCTGCCGTCACAACCAAGCTTCTTGTCACCACCTTTCAAGTGGTGTCTGTCTCTTTCTCCCTCTCTCCTCCCCTCCCCCTCCTCCTCTCTCCCTGCCCCCTCCCTCCACCATCGCTACACATGAAGTGATAAGTGCCTTTCTCTTGGAGTCCTGTCTTATGTATGCATACATGTATAGCTTACTCTTCCTGTAAGTGTTTCAACATTGTTTTCAATCCATGTTCCCTTAAGGCGTAATGGTGGGGTTAATTTTGCTTTTGACTTTTGTGCCACAAAAGGCCCTATATGTATTAGATGCTCAAATGTTAGCAGATTTCAGAAAATCTGCACCACTTTTATGGCCGATATTCACAAGATTGTACTTATATGGGGTGGTAGTGCATGGTCTTTAATCGAAGCCCTCAGGAGGCAGAGGCCAAGGGATCTCCCAGTCAGGTCACGTGGAAAGTTAAAGGACAACCAGGTAACTCTACATATTGAGTCCCTGTCTCAAATAATAGTTATCATGATCGACGATGATGATAAAAAACAAAGCACTTTATATCCACTGTTATTGCACAACAGTGCATTTTCCCTTCGGGATAATTTTCGTAGTTGTTAAGTACTCAATGTCTGTCCTAAAGAAATCCCTACTTCTTTACATCAAAGAAAACTTATATAGTTCTTTATATTGTGAAACTTAAAGCAACAATGGGCTTTCAGTATGTTCTGTGGTTGTGAAGCCCAAATGTCATACTTCCCATGAGAAAAGAATGTATGCTAATGATAAAAGTAACCCTTGGGACGATTTGAACAACCATTCAATTTTCTTAACTTCAGAGGGCCTTTAACAATGCACTTGCCACTGACCTGTGAGGGTTCCAAATTTCTCACCCTTAAATTTAACTGAAGGTATCCATGCAGGCCCAGGGAGGACACGTGTACGAATACCTTGAATTTAGGAAAAGCTTAAAGAGATTCTGTTGTTGGGAGGCAGAAGAATTTCCTCAGTGGCTGAGAGTACTTACTGCTCTTGCAGAAGACCTGAGCTCAGTTCCCAGCGCCCACGTGGTAACTCACAGTCGGGTGCCTGTGACCGGTTCCAAGAGACCCAGGGTCCTTTTCCAACCTCTGAGAGTTCCTGCACACACATCACACATTTATATATATTTAAACCTACCTACTTACAGGTCAAAATTAAAAAAACATGTAAAGAAGCTCTGTTGCTTGAAAATAGATTTTGTTGGCATTTTTCGATCGGTAAAATCTGTAAAAATTTTGAATTAGGGTTAGAGAGATTGCTCAGGGGTTAAAGAAATGATGGCTGGGCTTGGTGGTGCACATCTTTAATTCCAGCACTTGGGAGACAGAGACAGGTGTGTCTCTATGAGTTAGAGGCCAACCTGAACTACTTTGTGAGATCCAGGCCAGCCAAGGCCTTATAGTCTTTAAAAATAAAAATGGAGCTGGGTGGTGGTGGTGGTGGTGGTGGTGGTGGTGGTGGTGGTGGTGGTGGTGGTGGTGGTGCACGCCTTTAATCCCAGCACTCAGGAGGCAAAGGCCAGAGAACCTCAATGAGTTCGAGGCCAGCCTGGTCTTACAGAGTTCCAGGACAGCCAGAGCTGTTATAGAGAAACCCTGTCTCGAAATGGCCAAAATAACTAAGTAAAAATAAATAAAAATCTTAAAAATAAAAAGGACACTTAACACTTACTGCCTTTGCAGAGAACCAGTGTTCCGTTCCCAGAACCCATATGACACGCCTCTCAACTCTGTGACTGCAGCTACAGGGTCTCCAATATCCCCTCCTGGCCTCTGAGTGTGCCCACACACATGTGCATACGTACTCACACATACACAGAGACAAACATAATCACATAAATAAAAACACATCTTAAAGTGTTTTAAATACTTTGAATTAACAGATAAGAGAAGGGCTGGGACAATGGCTTAGCAGTTAAAGGTACTTGCTGCTCTTGTAGAGCAGTTCCCAGAACCCACATGCAGGATCACAAAAATGTGTAACTCCAGTTACTCCAGTGTAACTTCTAGCTTCCATGTGTACCAGGCACACACACAGTGCACATGCATACATGCAGGGAAAATACTCCTAGACCTAAGACAAAAAATAAATCCTAAACATATTAAGAATACTTGCAGTATGTTTTGAGAAATAGTTTCAACGTTCAAAGTAGTCTCAAACCAAACTGCCTGATTTCCTACCTTAGCCTTTATGCTGCTGGAATTCTCGCCACAATACCTGCTAAGGGTATTTTCTTTTTCCTATATCAGTGTGATTTGAACAAAAATAACCCCCAAAGGCTCATATATTTGCATACTTAGTGCCCAGTTCTTCGTAAGCTGTCTGGAAGGACTAAGGTAAGTGGCCTTGTTGAGGGAGATGTGTTCCTTATTGGAGGTGTGTCGCTGGGGGTAGGTACACTTTGAGGTTTCAAAATGGAGCCGGGCTGCCTGCCTGCACATCAGAGAGTAGCTCTCAGCCACCTCTCTCTCCAGTACCTTGTTAGGTTAGGGTTGGGTTTGTGCCATCATGCTTCCCACTACAGTGATAATGTCAGCAAGCCTCTGATTAAATGCTTTAAAAATAAACAAATAAATAAGAGTTGCGGTGGTAATGATGTCTCTCCGAAGCAACAGAATCGTGACTAAGACAAGACCAGTTTGTTTTATTGCCTATCAGCAAAAGGGTGGGGCTGCAGAGGAGTGACGTTTGCCCAGTTTAACACAAATCACAAAAAGACAAATTGCAGCCAATTTTCCAAAAATGGGTGTGGGAGAGTGTGCATTGGAAGAGTGGTTTCTCTGTGCCAGCTCTTCCAGGATTCTTTTGCTGAATTTGAGCTAGGACCTACCAAGAAGCCCGTGTAACACCATGTGCTTGAACACAGAGGGGAGGCATGGCCTTTGACTGAGGAAATCTCATGTGTACACAGAGACGGGTTCACATAGGCCCTCAGTCAGCACACTCCCAGGATGTCTGCACGCACGCATGCACGCATGTCTCTTTGCCCATGAACATGGAACTCTGCACTTGCTTGTGAAGTTCCTGAATATTATACCTGAAGGTGCCTGGGAAGCTTGGGATGGGTGTCAGCAACTCCTCTGTCTGAGTCACTGATGAAAGTATGTTTCAAATATCTGGTTAAGCAGGACACTTTTAGTTACATGGGAAACCTCCTTAACTGGCGGCTGGGGTGGGGTTGGGCGGGGGAGAAACACTCATTTGAAAACACATTTCACTGGTACTGTGATTTCCTGTGTAATTTTAGGCAGACCTATACTGAGAGGGGACAACCCTGGCATCCTGACTGCACACTGATGAGCCTAGGGATAAGGCTCACCGGGAGAGCAATTACCGGGCAAACCTGAAGGCCTGAGCTGACACTCCAGTACTAAAAAAGCAAGCAAGGAACTAACTGACTTGAGTTGCTGTCGTTAGATGACCAGGTAATGACGTGAGACCTCGGTTTTCTTAGAACAATCAGTAACTGATCAGACAAGGTCATCCTGTTGACTGATGAAGGCCAAAAAAAAAAAAAAAAAAAAAAAAAAAAAAAAAAAAATACTAGCCCGGGTTATAAGTTTTCTAAGCAATGCAAACCAATTTTTTTTTAATTAAAAATGATCTTTACCTTTTGTTAGTAACTTGTAACCAACCCAGTAGTCTGGCAATGCAAACAGTGGTCAGGTAATTTGACAGAGTAATACAGTATTTACCTATGCAGAACCGATAAGAGGGTATAAAATGAATTTTGGTAGAAGCCACTATTTGTGTTCTACCGAAAGAAAATCAGTCTTGGAGTATATCTTGAAATTTAAAATAGTATGAATTTTGAATAATGCCCTCCAGCAGTGGAGGTAAACTTTATTTTTAATATGGTTTTTCGAGACAGGGTTCCTCTGTGTAGCTTTGGAGTCTGTCCTGGCACTCACTCTGTAGCCCATACTGTCCTGGAACTCACAGAGATCCACCTGCCTCTGCCTCCCGAGTGCTGGGATTAAAGGCGTGCGTGCCCCACCAACGCCCCGCAGAATGTGACTGGGTTATGTCACAGTTGTGTACCACACCTTAACAGTCCGGTCACCTCCGTCACACAATAAATAGCTGGAAACTATGTCATTATTAGCTAGTTACTGTTCACTCAGACAAGACTCATAATCTACCTCGTCCTCCTATATTCTGGGATTATAAGCATGGGCCACATCCAGTGAGTTCTGTTTTGAAACCGAGGCTGGGCAGAGAGCACTTGTGCAAGCCCGAGAGCCTGAGTTCGAATCCCCAGAACCAGGTGAGGGCTGAAACAATTAGGACCTACCTATAAAAGGTGCCATCCGTCACGGGACTCAACACAGACCGTCCGTGGACAGGATAGTGCGCTGTGTAAATGACTTGTACACACCCTTGAAAGAATGTGTGGGGACAGACGCATGCATCCACAGTGTGTTACAACAGTAATTATGTGAACACTCGCTCGGGAGCCGGAACCAGGCTTACCTTTACATACCAAGCATCATGCCAAGCTGATGCTCTAAACCATTTTCTAAGCAGTTCTGCTTGTGCACCATAAATTCCTTCACGTGACACCACGGCACCTGGTAAGAACTCTTCGTGGTGAAAATCACAGCCCACTACCGGTTCTAAATTCACTCGCACTCCATCATCCAACCCATCCGTGGCAGGTATCAGCATCCCACGCCACAGTTGCTGGCGACATTTTTTTATTATATTTATTCATTCATTTTCAGTGCAGGACGTCCACAGTTGCTGGAGACATTACTTATTTAGTTATTTTTATTTATTTGTTTGTTTGTTTATTTATTCACTCATTCATTCATTCTTCAGTCTAGGACATCCACAGTTGCTGGAGACATTGTTTATTTATTTATTTACTTATTTTTATTTGTTTGTTTGTTTATTCGCTCATTCATTCATTCTTCAGTCTAGGACGTCCACAAATCCTAAAACCTAGCTGTCCCGTCTATCGTTTATTTATTTATGTTTTTTTATTCATTCATTCATTATTCAGTCTAGGACGTCCACAAATCTTATTTAATTTATTTATTCATTCTTCAGTCTAGGACGTCCACAGTTGCTGGCGACATTTTTTTATTTTATTTATTTATTTATTCCTTCTTCAGTGTAGGACGTCCACAGTTGCTGGCGACATTATTTATTTATTTACATATTTTTATTTATTTGTTTGCTTGTTTATTTATTCACTCATTCATTCATTCTTCAGTCTAGGACGTCCACAAATCCTAAAACCTAGCTGTCCCGTCTATGGGCGCGACGTGCCCAGCAAACGCGAGCCTGGAGCGCTCCAGCCGGGCTTCGGCCTTGGAGGGTCACGTGAGCGGGGCTGGGCCGCTGCGCGTGCGCGCACGGAGGCTGGCGGTGCCGGGCCGGCTGGAACCGGACGGCGGGGCGGCGGGGCGGGGCGGGGCGGGGCTCGGCCGGCCGGGCCGCCCATTGGCCGCCGCGCTTCCGTGCGCTCCGCGTCGGTCCCTCCAGGTGCCGAGACACCGGGGTCTGGAAGTTTCGCGTCGACGATTGTGGTCTGCCGTTGGGTTGGTGGAAGATGTTAGCATTTCTTTTTTGCCACTAAAGGAGTGTTGTTGCAAGAACGTAAAGAGGCTTGGTTCATCTGAAATGTTTTTGTTTTTATTTTTTCCCTCCTCCCCCAGGTGCTCGTAGCTTTATTTTCCATGACAGATCTTGACGACAATACATGCAAAAAATATATAAAGATGATTACTAATATCGTAGTGTTGAGCCTGATCATTTGCATTTCCCTAGCATTCTGGATCATGTCAATGACCGCTAGCACCTATTATGGTAAGTAGAAGTTGTTCTAGAAGCTTATGGGTGGAATTTAAAAGTACCACTGCCCAAATCCAAGAAGTACGCCCTGTAAATGGTTAATATTGATTTTGGGTACTACCATAACCTGGATCTAGTTTGCTACCCTGGCCAGATAAACAATGTGTTTAGTATTTTGTGGCCTTTATGATTGTTGAGCTAATATTAATTATACCCGTTTTCTGCCTCCCAGTTGCTGGGATTCACGGCACTCACTACATGATGGTGTTTAAGGATTATTTTGGTTTTGGTTTTTACATAGCTGGGAATTTTGCATGTTCTGTGCAAACGCATTAAACTCTTTGTTGTTGTTCTCTTGTTGGGATTGTTTTGGGGGGGAACGTTTTGTTGTTGTTTTGTTTTGTTTTTGAGACAAGGCTCCAGCTGTGGCCTTGGCTGACACCACACTCTTTCTACCCCTCTCTCTATGTTCTGGAATTATGTGGGTCAACACATCCAGTGAGTTCTGTACAACTTCAAAGCAGGGACTGAGGCAAAGCTGTGAGTAAAGCACTTGCTGTGGCAGCCTAAGGACCTGGGTTTAAATCCCTAGAACCCACCTGAGGCCGGGCACAGTAGCACCCATCCATAACTCCAGTGTGAGGGCGGTGGGAAGCAGACAAGTCCCAGGAGCCCTTGGGCCATCTCAAAGTTATCCTGACTACACACACACACACACACACACACACACACACACACACACACACACTCTGTCTGCATACAACATGGCACAATTACACATGCACTTTTTTTTTTCTTTGAGACAGGCTCTCTCTATGTAAAATAGGCAGACCTAAAACTTAAAAAGAGATCTGCCTATTTCTGCCTCCCAGATGCTGGGATTCAGGACGTTCACTACAATGCCTGGCGCACACACACAACATTTGCTTTTGAGTTTTACAGCTGCCTTAGAACATGCCTATAGAAACAACTTTTTTTTTCTAAAGACTTAGTTATTAAGTTATTTATTTATATGAGTGTTTGCCTGCATGTTGTGTATGTGCACCAGACGTTTGCTGATGCCCAAGGGGTCGGTCAGAAGAGAGCATTGGATCCCCTGGAAGTAGAGTGACAGATGGATTGTGAGCCGCCACGTGGGTGCTAGGAATCAAACCTGGGTCCTCTGTGAGGACAAGTGCTCCTAACCTTTGAGCCAGTTCTGCAGCCCATAAACTTTCTACTCATCACTACAGAACTGGGATAACATTGGTCAGGGCACAGTCCACAGCTGAGGGACGAGTGGATGAGAGAGTGAGAATATTCGCTCCTGGGAGTGGTTGTGTCTTGGTACTAAAAAGGAGGAGTCCTCTGTTAGCTGCATGCAGGTGGAGCCTGAGCCCCCCCCCCCTCCCGGAATGAAAGGGAAAAGACACAGTTTACCATTTACTGTTAGTGAGAAAGGACATAAAAAGAACCACCAGCTCAAACATAAAAATCAAGGGCGGGAAAAGGAGACAAGGAACCTGAGGAGAATATTTTCAGCAGAGTGCATAAAATAGCCAGCTGTTTTTGGGTTTGTGTGTGTGTGTGTGTGTGTGAATAAATGTTCAGTCAATAATAAAAAAAATTATTAGACACCCTCAAAAATTGCTTACCTGTTTTCTGCCTCCTGAGTGCTGGGTTGACAGGTCTGTGCCAGTACTCAGGAATGTGGCTGTGAGCAATAGTTCCATGTTTTTTCCTTAGGATAAAGAAATCCCTCAGCAGTAGTCTCTATCAGGTGATGAAGCGTGGTGGGAAATCCGTGGCCTGTTTAAAGGAGATCACCCCTGTTTCTTCGCCTTCAGTTAGTTCTGCCATGTTTGCGAGAGTATCTAGCTTAAACAAAATGAAGAATCAGAACTTTCACATCAGATTCTTCTAACTTTTACTATTAATTCAAAAGATTTAAAGACACGGTGTTAGCCAAACAAAACAGCTGTGGGGCTTGCAGTCTTTGGGTAATTTGACTTCTAACTGTTGAATCAGATTTGTTGCCTGTCAGGATATTATTATTTAAGATAATCTCTTTGAAAGAGAGAAATAATTAGATGCTGATAAGTTTGTCTCAAATTTAATATATGCCTCCTTTTCCTGAACAAGGAGGAGCTAATGGGCCCCCAGACTGATAGCTGGGAATCCAGCATTGGACTGACTCAGACCCCCTGAACATGGGTCTCAGTTAGAAGGCTTGGGCTGTCTAAGGGATCTCAGACAGTGGAACCAGGATGTATCCCTGGTGCACAAAAAGACTTTGGGAGCACATCCCCCATGGAGGGATATTCCCTTAACCTAGAGGCAGGAGGGAGGGCCTAGTCCCTATTCCAAATGACTTGACAGATTTTGTTGATCCCTCCTGGAAGGAATCATCCTCTATGTGGAGGGGGGGGGAGGGTGGTGGTGAGGAGGAGGGGTATTGGAGGGTGGGAGAGAGAGAGAGAGAGAGGGAGGGAGAACTGGGATTGATATGTAAAATAAGAAAAAAATTTAAAAAAATATATGCCTCCTTTTAAAAAAAATTAAGGAGCCATGTGTATGATATTATCATAAGAAGCTGTAAAAGGTTTTCAACACTAACATAGCTGAGTGGGCCTCACCCCGGGAAGATTGTTCCTCTGACAGTATTCAAGTTTGGACATAAATGTTTTCCTTGGGCAACCGCATCAGTTTCTCTACTTAGGATAATATTCTAATCCAGAACTCACTTTATGAAAGCTTAATGTTAAGAGTGACCTATGCAAGATTCTAGCCACCTGTTTGCCCCAGCCAAAGAATCTGTTTGCATTTTGGTACCTGCTAGCAAATGGAAAGTCAGTTTTCTCCAATGGTGTTCCTCTGCATATATCATATCGGCCACACTATAGGGCAGGCCCAGTGCCCAGGGGTAGTTGGCTAACAAAATGAATTTCATAGTGCTGTGAACGTTTTCTTCATTTGTGTGTGTGTGTTTGCTTGTTTTTAGAGAGTCACAAAATATGAGAGATGGGGTGATCAAAGTAAATCGTGTGAAAAATTTTTAAATATTTAATCAATAATTTTTAGGAGATTAACCTATTGCAGATGTCACACTGTTTTCCCTGTTTATAATTTCCCAGCCCATTTCTCTGCCTCTCTAACTTTCCAGGTAACTTGCGGCCTGTCTCTCCTTGGCGTTGGCTGTTTTCCATCGTTGTTCCTGTTTTGATTGCCTATAACGGCTTTAAGAAGAAAAGTCTGGACCACAGTGGGGCTTTAGGAGGTATGTTTTAATTCTGAATGCTTAAAACAATCATGTCATAAATAAGTTATTTAATCTCATGTTTTCTGAATTCTGATCATGAGTGAGTGTATTTATTTATTTTTAAAAACTTTTTGAAAGATAGGTTCTCACATTGTAGACATAGATGACTTGGAACTCATTATGTAGACCAGGCTGGCCTTGAACTCACAGACATCTGCCCGCCTCTGCCTCCCTAGAACTGGGAATTAAAGGCATGGGCCACCAGAACTGGCTGTGACCGAATTTCGACCTTGTGCGTCTCAGTGATTCAGCATTGCCATTCTGTAGAACTGCAGAAACAGATACCCATTCCACTTTGTGATCGGTGTGAGTAGGCGAACAGGTTTGGCCTCTGTGGACCTTGACCTTGGCTCGTCTGTACTTGGTGTGGTCTCCTACTGGCAGAATTGCTGGACCACTCCTCCGGTGTGAAATGGAGGAGAAATAACTCTTGGAAATTGCTACCAGTGATCTCAAATAGCTTGGTTCAAACCTATTCTTCTAGGTGGCTTTTTAGAACTGAATTGGGCACAGGTTTTTATGTTACTCTTTAGCTGGTCTTGAACTCACAGACATCCTCCTGCCTCTGCCTCCCAAGTGTTGGGATCAAAGGCGTGCGCCGCCGCCTGTTACTTATTTTTTATTTATTGAGCACTTACTACTCTGCGCCACTGCTCCAGAAATGGGGAATGAAACCGTGACCAAACAGAACGCTTCAGCTCTCTTCGGTCTTTTATTTTGCTTTACTTTTTGTTTGCTTCATTTTGGTTTTGAAACACCATCTGAACTGTGTAGCTGAAACTGGTCTCAGGCATGGAGTCCTTCTGCTTCAGTCTCTCAGGGACTTTGACTGTTTGTGGCTGGGGGCCATTAGATGAAATGTACGCAAACTTTTCAGACAGTGTCGAAGTTTATGGGGAAAAAAACTGAAAGCATAATAGAGAGTATATGTTAGAAGATACAGGGTGATTACCGCCCCTAGGCAGGGCCCTGTGGTTTTCTCTAAGAAGGCAGATTGGAGCTATGACCCAGAGAAGCCAGCAGGAATGGTGAGAAGCAACTCTGGGTGAATCAGAATCTGGGGAAGCGAATAGGCTGATCCATGTTGATTTGGGGAGAAATCACTTAACACCAGAAACAGACGACCGCCAGCAGGTTCCTGTCCCCAGGGTGCCTCCCGGTGCTCTCTGTCTCTGACCAGGAAGCAAGAGAGAGTGCTGGGGTCTGGGACCCCAAACCTAGTTCCCCCAAGTCACATTTGAACCTGTCCCCACGCCCCCCAATGGGTGTGGTCAGTGCAACAGGTATGGGCGGGGTGGATATCTCACTACAAGTGCATAAGCCCTAACATGTGGATCCAACTTGTTCAAGAGTAAGAAGAAAGCTCAGTCGGGCAAGTGTTAATAAGGACAGGGAAAGTAGTCAGAGAGAAAGCCGCAGAAATAGGTTAGGGTTGAGCAGGTCCATCCAGGCTGGTGTCCTCTGGAAAGGGTTTTGTCTCAGAGCAGGGAGGATTTCTAGCCTCAGATCAGAAGACCAACCTGATGTACCTAGGCAAAGAGAGTGTCCATAGTCACCAAATGTTCAAGACACCGAGGCGTGTGGTCCCTCTAAATACTTCCCATAGGATGAAGATCATTCCTGCTAGCCTCTCTTGAGGTCACCTACCCAACCTTCAGAGTCAACACTCTGTCCCCTCTGTCTGTGGCCCTAAACGAGGTAAGACAGGGTGGTTGGTTAAAGAACAAGTGCTAAAAGCAGGCAAGGCCCACCTGAATAGAAACTGTGCCTGCTCCTGTTTCCTGTAAGGGGTTCCCAGTGCCTAGCCTGGAGAATATACCACAAAATTAATGGAACAGGAACACCATGCAAACTCACTGGCCTGGTACCTTCCGGAGGCCAAGGGAAGAGCCCTGGCATGTGCTGTCATGGTGTTATAGTTCTGTAAAAGTAAAAGTGTGATTTCGTTATTGTTGTTTCCCTCTCCCCCAACCCCCGGCCCCCAAGGGCTGGTCTTGAACTTGGTGTAAAACTTCAGTGTGTGTCTGTGTGTGTGTGTGTCTGTCTGTCTGTGTGTGTGTGTCTGTCTATCTGTCTCTGTGTGGGCATGTGCTTGCTGAGGCCAAGAATGTAGAGGCATTGACCCCTGATCTACAGTGATGACAGATGGTCGTAAGCTGCCGGATGTGGGTGCTGGGGTCCTGACCTTTTGTCCTCCGAAGAGCTGGAGACATCTGAACCATCTCTCCAGCCCCCTGAACTGTGTGTTTTTTCTTGTCTGTTTATTGTGAGGCAGGGCCTCAGGTAGCTGAAGCCGGTCTTGGTGAACCCTACAGAGTTGAGGACAGCTTACGGTCCTCCGGCTCCCACCTCGAAGTGCTAGGATACAAGTATGTGACATTGAACCAGTTTATGTGGTGCAGGGACTCATTTATTTGTCATCCTGCTGGGACTTGGCGCATGCAGGCAGACATGGTGCTGGAGAGGTGGCTGAGAGTCTGCGTCCAGCAGTGACAGTGATGTACCCGCCAGGCTTGCACTTTTAAGACCTCAAAGCCCACCTCCTAGTGATGTACCGTCTCCAGCAAAGCCACACCCACTCCCTGTGGACCTGCGGGCAACGTTTTATTCAAACTAGCACACTTTCTCATGTGCCCTTGCCTTGGTGTTTATTACCCGTGACTTACAGCAGGAAGGGTCAATGCCTTGAAATTCTTTCCTCTCCACCTGTTTACTGGTTGGCGGCGAGGGTAATGAGGACATGTGGGCTGAGGGGACAGCCTTTAGGAGTCATTTCCCCTCGACCAAGGGTGCCAGGCCCCAGGGGCCAAGCCCAGGTCACCCAGTGGCTTCACCACCAACCATCTCGCCAGCCCTCAAGTACTTGAAAAGTCTGCCTGGGTCCACCCTGTCTTCCTCAAGGGTCCCTCTGAGGGGTCCCCTGTCTGGTCTGTCACCCCACCGCTGGGCATCAAGGGGTCCCCTCACTCTGCAACTCTGGGGGAGGAGGATCCCCCTGGGGCACAGGCTGGGGAGACTACTCTCCCCTCCCGGCCGAGATGGAATTTGGAAGCTCTGAAGTGTTGTTCACCTAAGAATTCCGATGAATCCTGACTGACTGACCGCCACCGTTCAAAATGAGTTACCAGAAATAGCCAGCGTGGGACAGATGGATGCGACTCTAAGCCGATTACTTCTTCTAGTCAACAGTTTGTGAGCAAGATCCCAAAGCACTACCCTCGAGAACCTGAAAATCAAAGGGGAAGATGACAGAGATGGAGAGAGAGACGCCTCGCTGTCCAAGCAGGGCATCATATGGCCAAATCCAGCACCGGAGACTTAAAAAAAAAAAAACAAAAAACAAAAAAAACACCTCAGTGTAGTTGGGGAGCTTAACAAATTGCTGGGAGGAGAATTCAATGTGCTTGGAGTTATTGAGGAGGTCTGTACATACTCTGCCACCATCCATGTCAAAGAGTCCCCTCCACTAACGAAGCTTTGCCATCCAGGATCGAATTGCAATCCCTCCCTCCATCCCCCACCCCCAGCACAGCTGGGCCTTCTGGTAAATCTCCTGATGCTGGCTCTCAGTGAAAATTCACTGACCGGTTTACCAGATGAGCTTGAGGGTGCTTGACCTATGGCATAATAAACCAAAAGAAATGCCTTCAGTGGTGTGTAGGCTAGAGCCCTCCCCTCTCCCCCAAACCTTCCTATAACGACCCTGGAAGAGGATATTAAAAACCTGCTGAAACTCACTCGGGTACACGAAGCATCAGAAGAGAACAAAGTCAAACAACTGTCCAAAACCGGTGAATTGTGGAACCTCACTGCAAACCTGGATGTAGCTCACGATGAACAAGCACGCCTTCCAGAGGATGCTGGAAACTGCACACAGATAAGCAGCCTTGACTCCCAGCACAGTGGACCTCCCAGACACAATAGGAAACGGGCCAATTTAAATCTCCTTGGCCTGAGACACAATAGGTTGTCAGCAGTCCCCAGGTCATGAGCACAGGCAGTGGCTTGAAACAGTAACATTTCCTCTCTGGGGGTGTGGGGGGGGGGGAGAGACACAACTTGAGAGTACACGATGCTTCCTGTGGTTGCTGTTGCTAGGTTGAGATTACTGGATAAAGGGTCCATCGTGATTATTCTGAATTACCACTACCATAGGACAAAAACCCAGACAGTCTGACTCTTGGGGCCAAATCTGATTATCTGTGGGTTTGCCTATATTGAGACCTTTCCTAGAATAAATATATTTTCCTAACTTAGGGGAAATGGGGGAGCATGTTGAAAGGTTTTTTTTTTGTTTGTTTGTTTGTTTGTTTTCCTTTTCTCATTTCTGAAAACCGCAGATCCACAAAAAAATTAACAGAAAAAAATATGGCAAATAAATTACACAAAAAGACACAGTCTATTTATGCTGAAGTCGTCATTGTATCATTTACTACAGTAGGGACACTTTTAAGGACTTCTCCCAGGTACAAAGAGATGAATGTGTCTCTCTGAACGCTGCTGTGTGTGTATGTCTGAAGCTTATTTAACAGTGTCTACAGTTTTGTAGACCTTGACCTACCTTGTGCATCCTGGGCTGCTGGGGTCATCACACTGTGCTGTGTCACTGAGGAACTAAATGTACTTCCCCCATGTGTGGGGCCGTGGCCTTTAACCCCATCCTCCCTTTGCTGGTGGGTGGTAGTACAGCTCTGGGAAACGGGCACATGTTGTGATCCTTTGTCATAGAGATTAATTATACCACTTTGTTAATCATCTTAAACGTGGAACTACGCCCTGTTCTTGTAGTTAGTCTATGTGAGAAGTCACATCATCATTAGAAGCCGTTTTGATGAGCACAGACTCTGAGAAGCAGTAAAAGTCCACAGGGTCAGGGGGTCCCCTCCTCTGGGCAGAGCTCAGGAAGTGCAACACCCTGCCTAGGATATTGATGTTTAATAAGGATCAGGAGAAACAAATAGGCCAGATAGATGTTTATTCAGGGAGAAATAACTCACAACATAGACAGATGAACACCAGCAGGTTCCTGGTCCCAAGGATGCCTCCAGATGTACCCCGTCCCCCTGTGTTGCAAGCAAGAGAGCTCTCAGAGCCCCCTCCTCAGCCTTAGTTCCCTCAGATAATGTCTGGCCCCGCCTCCACCTCCAATGGGCGTGGTCTGTGCCACAGGTGCAGACAAGGTGAATATCTCACTACATTAGGACAACAATGGTAATATCGGTGTCACCAGTGAGGAGAGGGTAGCTTGAGGCCACACACCACCCATATGTCACGTGGGTGGCAGAAAGATGCAACCCCAGACAGTTCATCCAGAACATCTGGCTCCTCAGGGTGTGGGGCATCCTCTCCAAATGTGTTTGCTTGTTTGTTTGCATGAGATTCTATGTTGCACAGACTGGCCTCAAGCTCCTAGTTCCCAGACATCCTCCTGCCCCTGTCTTCTGGACAGCTGGCAATAAGGCATCGGTTTTGTATGCTTCCTTGAAATCACTCACCATCAGAAAACTGAAGGGCTGCCCCAAACCAGAGAGAGGTGTAAGAGTCTAAAATCGTCGTCATAAAAGTTCTTGGAAAGCTTGAAAAATTTATCTTTTGACTTTACATTTTAAAGGAAAGTCCCAAGATATAAGACAGGAAATGCAAAAGATAGAAACTTGCAAAACAGATTTACCCTGTGTTCTGACTGAGTGTAAAGTTTGTGGCCTAATGATTAAACTCTCCTCCTCTTCAAATTGAGTATAAGAAGTTTGCCTTAAAATGATCTTATATCATTGTCTGAAAGGAGATCAAAAAAAAAAAAAAAAAATGTGGTTGAAAGCCATCACTTGAAACGGCCTTCATTTTGCAGCTTGGTAGCAACTGGGTTGGAATCATGAACACGTGTTAGAAACGCATGTCAGATTTCAATTTGAAAATAATGAAAAGATCCATTTTTTTTTTTTTTCCAAAACATCAGTTTCTGGATTAACTCTAATTCTGTGCTTCTGTGTGTTTCTTCCAGGGCTGGTGGTTGGATTTATCTTAACCATTGCAAATTTCAGCTTTTTTACATCTTTGCTGATGTTTTTCCTTTCATCTTCTAAACTCACTAAGTGGAAAGGAGTAGTGAAGAGACGTCTAGATCCGGAGTACAAGGAAGGTAAAACGCATTGCCTCTGACATCACTCCGCCTTAACATGAGCTTTCAATCCGAACGGGTCGGGCTGTAAAAACAGGTGAATCTTACTGAGGATTACTTCTGGGTTTTAAAATTCTGTTTTTTTAGATTTGCTTATTATGTATACACCTGATCTCATTACAGACGGTTGTGAGCTATCGTGCGGTTGCTGGAATTGAACTCAGGACCTCTCGAAGAGCAGCCAGTGCTCTTAACCTCTGAGCCATCTTTCCTGCCCCCTGAGGATTACTTTTGTAGCTTAATTCAATTCCTTATTTCTTTTGCACAATAACAAGTTACTGCAGGTTTTTTGGTTTGTTTTCCGGGTTTTTTTTTTTTTTTTTTTTTCCTTTTGGTTTTGCTTTGTTTTGTTTCTTGAGAGACAGGGTTTGTCTGTGTAGCCCCAGCTGTCCTGAAAGTCACTCTGTAGACCAAGCTGGCCTCGAACTCACAGAGATCCAGTAACTGCAGAATTTTAGTGCAGGTCTGCTATAATTTTGTCAATGGCAGTACAGAATGTGGGTAAAGACACCATGCTGCTTTTATTTATATTTTTTAAGCTACTCTACTTTTCTGAAACTTAAAAAAATACATGTTCCTATAACTGAATCTTTCTTCCTTCCTTCCTTTCTATTCTCCATCTGATACCTGTCTCCAGGAGGCCAGAGGAACTGGGTTCAGGTGTTCTGTAACGGAGGCGTGCCCACAGAGCTGGCCCTGCTCTACATGATAGAAAACGGCCCCGGGGAAATGCCCATAGACTTTTCTAAACAGCCCACTGCTTCCTGGATGTGTCTGTCTCTCCTGGCTTCTCTGGCCTCTTCTGCTGGTGACACCTGGGCATCTGAGGTTGGCCCAGTTCTGAGCAAAAGCTCACCTCGGCTAATAACAACCTGGGAGAAAGTTCCAGTTGGTGAGTTGTGTGTGTGTGTGTGTGTGCGCGCGCGCCTGCATGCATTTAGAAGCTAAAAGTCAGGCTTGGGTGTAATTCTTAGGAAGCCACCCACTCTGTTTTTGAGATATAGTCTCTCATTGGCCTGATGCTCTCCAAGTAGGCTGTGCTAGCTGGACGGACAGTAAACCAAAGAAAGGGACAAACCGCCTTACCATTGTTATCACACCCAGCTTTTTACTTGGGTTCTGGGAATCGAACCCAGGTTCTTACACTTGCATGGCCATCCCCTTCCTGACAGGGCCATCTGTTGGGGAACATTATTTTAAGGTGTGTGACTTTTGTTTATGCTGCCTTGGTTTAACGATGTGAAGCTGGGGTTCTTTGTCTAGAGCACCTGAATGGCCAATGGCGAGGCAGGAGGTGGGGCTGGCAAGCAGAGAGGATAAATAGGAGGAGGAGAGAAGAGAGAACAAGGAGAGGAGGTCAGGGGTCAGTAACCCAGCCATGGGGTAAGTGAAAGTAAGGGGTACAGAGACAGAAAGATAAAAGCCCAGAGGCAAAAGATAGGTGGGTTAATTTAAGAAAAGCTGGCCAGCAATAAGCCAATTTAAGGCCAGGTGTCATCACTAAGACTAAGTCTCCATGTGTGCGTTCTTTGGGAGCTGGGTGGTGGGCCTCCCAGAAAAGTCCAAAGAGTAAAGAGCAACAACATCATTACAACAATAGCCATCTCCCCCACCCCAGGTGATGAGTCTTGATTTGAGTTTGCTTAATACAAACTAAAAGTAAAACCTCCTCAATTAATGTTTTCCACAAGAGCCTTTTAAAATTTACATTTGCTCTTCTTGATTTTTCGAGACAGGGTTTGTCTGTGGCTTTGGAGCCTGTCCTGGAACTAGACCAGGCTGGCCTCGAACTCCCAGAGATCCTCCTGCCTCTGCCTCCCAAGTGCTGGGATCAAAGGCCTGCACCACCGCGCAGTGAAGTAATTATGAGCAAAGTATGTGGAAAGGAGGCTGTTAATAGGTTATATGCAAATAGGACTATCTTTTTTTATTTTATTCCTGTGATACTAGGGACACTAATGTTCCCATTAGTGTCTCAGTTTCCCTTCCCGTGGCTACGATAAAAAGCCCTGGCGAAGAAAACATAAAAGACTAGGGTTGATTTGGCTCACACTTCTGGTTTCACTCTGTCATTACATCACACTTGTAGGTTACGGTGCATCAGTACAGGGAAGCCAGGGCTCCAGAGAACTAGAGGCACCGTCTAGAACAGAGAGCCCTAGGTTAATGCACGCCCTTGGTGTTGAGTTGGCTTCCTCTGCTCTTGCACAATCCACGATCCCTGCCCAGGGAATGACACAGGTGTTCCTGCCTCAGTTACCTTAGCCAAGATAATCCCCGACAGGCATGCCCCGGGGACCAACCTCATCCAGTCCTTACTCGGGGACGCTTCCCAGCGGATTCTGAATCCTGTTAAGGACAGTTAAAACCAGCCGTCGATCTAAAACTAACAACTGAGTGCTTTACCACTGCGCCAGCTCCCCCAGCCTAGAGGACTCTTTCTGACAGAACAGCTTGATTTCCCTTGTGAATCACCTGGTCAAACAGTTGATTTCGCAGAAGTGGAGGATGCTAGGGAGAGGAGAGAGAGATGAGTGAACAGCGGAGTCTGCTGTGGCAGTCTAGAGTAGGTGACGAGACAGCTTAGGACATCTTTCCTCTTTAAAAGCTAGACAAGTGGCGTTCGTAATGCTTTTCCCCATAAAGAACGAGGAGTATTTGAGGAGGTAGCTGCAGGCCCGGGATCTAAATATTGAAGTGTTTGCATGAATTCAAATAGCAGTGTCTCTCTCTCTCTCTCTCTCTCTCTCTCTCTCTCTGTGTGTGTGTGTGTGTGTGTGTGTGTGTGTGTGTGTGTGTGTGAGTGTAACTTTCACCCATCAGGTTTTTTGATTTTTGTCTCTTGGGGACAGAGGTGGGTGCTGGGATTGAACCTGGGATCTCATGTCATGCATGCCTGGCAAGCACCCTACCACAAGCTGTATCTCCAGCCCCTGTGTATCAGGTGGTTGGGTTTTTGTTTTGTTTTGTTTTGTTTTTGACAGATCAATCTTTTCTTTAAATTAATTTTAATTAGGTATTCACCAGTGTGGGGTTTTTGCTTTGTTTTGCCTTCTTTGGTTACTCACCAGATGATTTGTCATGCCTTTCTCCCTCAGGGACCAACGGAGGAGTCACAGTGTTGGGATTGGTCTCCAGTCTCCTCGGTGGTACTTTTGTGGGCCTGGCCTACTTCCTCACACAGTTGGTGTGTGTGAGTGACTTAGACATCTCTGCTCCGCAGTGGCCCATTATTGCCTTTGGAGGTCTGGCTGGGTTACTAGGATCAATTGTGGACTCATACCTAGGAGCAACAATGCAGTTTTCTGGTAAGACAGCATCTTATTGTAAGTTTCATTGTTTTGTTTGTTTTTTAGAGACAGGGTTTCTCTGTGTAACAGCACTAGCTGTCCTGGAACTCACTCTGTAGACCAGGCTGGCCTTGAACTCACAGAGATCCACCTGCCTCTGCCTCCTGTGTGCTGGGATTAAAGGCATGAGCCACCACTACTGTCGTCTAGTCCTAGGAAAACAGGACACTTGAATCAGATCATTTTAATTTACCGTCTTTCATTTGTTTTTGCCAAGTGCAATTGGTAATTATACTGGTCTAACTACATGAGTGGCTGCTTCCCCACGGATTATCCCCACCGTGACTTTCTGTCCCTTGATTTGTTTGTTTCTAAAATAAGCTCTTGTTATATTGTCCAGGCTGGCCTTGAACTCCGGCACTCAAGCTTCCTTCCTTCCTTCCTCAGCCTTCCTAGTGTCTGGGACTTCCCTTAGCTGTCACATTAAGTGTTTACTCATGGTATGTGGGAACTGGAGTGTTGGCTCAGCAGTTAAGAATGTTTGCTGCTCAATCAGAGTCATGAGGATCGAAGTCCAGATCCCTGCACCCACATCCAGCCATCCATAGCTCTAACCCCAGTCCCCGGAGACCTGACTCCCTCTTGCGGCCTCCACCTGCACCCACACTGTGCTTCTACAGACAGACCCATGCACAAGCACACACAGTCTTAAACAGAATGCATGTGTGTAAGTTTTAGTGTGCCTGTGTTCTGTTTGTGCTGTTTTTTAAAATGCTGGGAGTAAGCTAGGCATTGGTGGCCCACGCCTTTAATTCCAGTATGCCGGAGGCAGAGGCAGGTGGATCTCTGTGATTTCAAGGCCAGCCTGGTCTACAGAGCCTCCGAGTTGCAGGACAGGCTCCAAAGCTACACAGAGAACCCCTGTCGCAAAAAAAAAAATCAAAACAAACAAACAAATTCTGGGAATAGGTTGTTTATCCGGGCAGAAACTGTGATCAAGCTCTCAATAGATGCAGGATCCCCAGCAGCTCCCTGAAGCTTCTTTATAAGGCCGTCACCTCCCACCCATCCCCACCACCACCCCGCTCATGAGAGCAGGGCAGGCTTGATCAGTTCCTCAGTACTGACTGACACATTGAGTCTTCCATGACCGCAGAAACAGACACGTGAGCCTTCATTCACATTTGCCGCAGTACCGTACTGAGCCCTCATGGGATCCCAGGGTTGTCTTAGGGACTCCACTGGGAAGCCAGGCCTCCCATTTCTAAAGGGACTCCACTAGTGAGGCGTGGTAAAGTCCCCCTACGCAGGAGGGTCTCTTATAATCGAGGACTTTAAGTACAACACCGTATCGGTTGTCCCCCACATCGCTGAGCAGGTGGTCTCCTCCCGAGAGCGCTGGGATTAAAGGCGTGTGCCCCACCGCCCGCCCGCCCGCGCCGCTTGTCTGCCCTTCTTACCAGCTTGTATCTTCCTTCCACATGATTTGCTCCGGTTCCGTCCGTCCGTTTCAGGCCTGGATGAAAGCACTGGCCTGGTGGTCAGCAGCCCAGCCCCGGAGACCAAGCACATAGCGGGGAAGCCCATCTTGGACAACAATGCCGTGAACCTCTTCTCCTCAGTCTTGGTCGCCCTCTTGCTCCCGACAGTCGCTTCGGGGTTTTGGCCCAGAGAATGAACTTTCTTTCCTTCCCAGTTGGTTGATACTGGTGAGTTCAGCCAAATTCCAAATGTGAAGGGTGTTTTTTTTTTTTTTTTTTTTGTCTTTTCCTAGTGAATAATAATTTCGCCAGCCTTGGGAATGGCGGCTCCTCCCCTGTTTTGCTGTGGTGGGATTCTGTTTTGCCCTTTCGGCTCCCTTCGCGGCTGAGGTCTTTGTAGTGAAAGGTGAAAGAGCAGCAAAGTTAAGCTCGTTTTTCCTTCGTGTTTCCTTCTGCCGCATGAAGCTTCTTGGACGACGGAGCTGTTGTTTTCCTCTGTGGTTGTATGTTGAGCTGAGAGTCCAGATGGTCTCTGTAAAATGTTACTTTGTTCAGTTTTTATAAACCAAGCGTGTTGACAGGCTACCACTATGACAGCGTCCCAAAGTTACATCCGCTTCAATGACTTGACCTGGTGCCCTTGGAAGCCCTTCCCATTACCTTTCTAGTCACAACCGTGAGATGAGAAACACAGGCATTGCTACCCCACATTTTCCTTCCTTTCTCCCAGCCAATGATGTAATTGTTTGGGCAGATTTCTTTCCCATCACATTAGGAAATGTGAAGAAAATTGTTGTTTATGTCCGTGCCTTCCGCCGGATGCAGCTATATAGCTTGGTGATAACACTCGTCTCTGGCACACAGTACCCTAGCTTAGACGCCCAGCCCCCAGAGAAAGTTACCCCGTATGCATCCATGTCTTTGAAATACACATGAGAATCTGGATCCATGCTGCCATGTGGGACAGTTAATGAGTCACTGGGAAGTTGGTGCCATGATGTCTTTAATTTACTTTGACTTGAACTTTGAACTGCATTTTGAAAGCGCCTGGAAACGCTGTGGTTTCCCCTAAGTAGCCTTCTTCCGAGTCATGCATTCCTTCTCTTTGTACCCTCAGCCGCTTCTGCTTGTGACTGCGTTCTTTGCCGTTCTTACCTTGCACAGAAGAGGTTTTGAAGGAGCAGGTTATTTCATTAAATACATCCTAAAATGTTCCTCGTCTATTCCTTACCGTTCTTCCTCTCCCCGTTTCCGTCCCTGATAAACTGCTACCCAAGTGAATAAATACCTTACTATTTCTAGCAGTGTCTACTGTCACAGCTTCTTGATTTAAAACCTACCCGATCTGGAAAGAAAATGAAACGGTTGACCCCCTTAGTCCTGAAATCACCAGCTCGGCCGCTCGCCAGCACCAGCTTTTTAACTCTGGGTATACCTTGGAAGCGCCTGGAACTGTTGTAGAAAAAGTGCTCGTGTGTATGGTGCAATCCTATAAAGTCTGCGCATGAGCGTTGTATCCAGGTTTTCAGACACTGTTTGTTGCCAAGGCTCCTTTTAGATCAGGCAGGGTCCTTGTGTGTGTGGCCCACTCCACAGGTGAGTCTCTTCTGACAACTGTGTTGTCAGGCTATGGAGGGTAGGGTACTGGCTATGGAAATGGCAGCCTCACATGCCAAGTCACGTGAGACGGTCTTTGGAACTCTGCAGCCTGAGCATCTGCTGCCTGCTCTCCATGCAGATGCCAGGGCCGCCTCTGTTTTAGCCGCTGTCTCAGTGTCGTCCCAGTGAGAACGAACTGTCCTAGCAAGCACATCCCAGACAAATTACAGCGTGCCACAGAAAGAACGGCACGATGTGCAGCTTAGTCAGTCGGTCTGCTTACAGAGTGTCTATTGCCTTAACTCCAAGAGGCCCTGGTACCTCAGCAGTACACAAGGTTCAGTAAGTACTTGTTGTGTTAATTTAATTTACTTGGGAGTATGGTCCTGGGGCAGTCGGAGGCCCGGATAAGAAATACCAGTTTGGCTACCTGAATTTCTGAGGGCTGTAATGATTGCAACATTTCTCAATTGTGAAACAATGCTAATGAGTTTGAAACTAATGAGTCAGGCACCTACTGTAGGAGGAATGGCAGGCTGGCAAGGCCAGGGCTCCTGGCTTGTTCTTCCGTCAACTCAGAACTCGTCCATTCTCCTGCTTTTCTAAAGAGTGGCTCTCTAAAATTTTTGTAAACGTGGACACTCTTTCTAAAGAAATTTGTTTTGCTTTTGCTCCATGCCTGGTGTGTTTCTGTGCACTTGGGTGCAGAGGACAAACAAGGGGGTCTGAGCCCCTGGAGCTAGAGTTACAGGCATGATGAGACACTCTCTGTGACGGCTGGGGACCGAGCTCGAGTCCGCTGGGACAACAGCAGACACCCTTGACCACTGAGTCACCTCTCGGCCCCCTGAAATAGTCTTTGCAATGTTTTAGAACATTAGTAATAAATCTAAAAGGCCAGGGGTGTAGTGGTGCACACCATTCATTTCAGCACTCTGGAGGCAGAGGCAGGGGAATCTCTGTGAGTTCTAGGTAGTGAGTACCAGAACAGCCAGGACTGCATGGTGAGACCCTGATTTAAAAAAAAAAAAAAAAGTTTCTGAAAGAGTCGTTTTAAAATGCCATACTGTTTTAGGGTTGTGCGCTATTGTTTTGGGGCTACAGTTTTACATCTAAACACCTTGTTATATGTCAGCCTTCTCAATATATTGTCGTGCAACTCTGGGACACAGAGTTGTAAGGAAGCTCACATGCCCATTGCCCAGGTATCGGCTAAGACAGGCATGTGCCGCTCACAGGAGAGCCTAGTCTGTTCTCAGGCGCTTAATGCCTCCTTTCTTTGTGTACTTCTCACTATCCTGGAGCCCTTTCCTCCCCTTTTATTACCTTGCAGAAATCAGCTCAGTGACGCTCCTGGAAGAGGCACCTCAGGCTCTCCCATGCAGAATGACTGTCTCACACAGGCAGTGACTTAACTGTAGAAGCTATGACCACTCAGCAATTCCTCTCCCCGTGTCCCGGGGTGGATGTGACCAGACCAGCTCGTTCCAGCTTCTGCTGCCACGCCTTTCTCATCGTGGTGGACTGTACCCTCCAACAGCCACACGGGAGAAGGAGAGAACAGATTCCTTCAGGTCTTCTGACCTCCATCTTCACGCACGCGCACACACAGAATGTAAAAACAATATTTTAAGACTACAAAAACAACTAAATGATAGTATTTCCCTACCAATTCATGCCTTAAATGTAAATTAAAATCTACAATCAAGACATATGTTGATTTAACATTTTTCAATCCTAATCATGTTTTCCATGAGACACTTGATTTATCTAAGTGCATACATGAGCTTAACCTGAAAAGGTAGAAAAAAGACTATATAAGAACTAAAGAGAAAAATGGCTGTTAGACAAAATACAATTTAAACATGTATCTGAGTAGGAGCACGAGAGCTCCTACATACATGAAGAAACTGTCCACAGAACTACAGGTAGAAACAGGCACAACACAGTAGTAAACCCCACACCCACTTTCAATAAAATGTGGACTCAGAAAGTGAGGTGAACACCACTATGGACTAGTGCAACCTAACAGTCGTACTGAATACTCCACCCAGCAAGAGCAGAGTATACCTTTCTCTGTTTTCCCAGCGAGGAACCACATTATTCCACAAAACAAGTCTTGCTAAGAGCACAGAGTTGAAATAGTACAAAGTATCCTTACCCATTACAGGGGGATAAATTAGAGGCAAAACCACAAAGAGAAAGGACCTGGGGTGGGGGGTACAAGGTGTTTCGTGGGGTAACACTCACCTTTAATCCCAGCACTAGAAATCTTACACAGGCCTCTTGAGAGTTCTAGGCCAGCCGGGTCTACATAGTGAGACCCTGTCAAAAACATAAGCTTTAAAATACATAGATATGTAGAAATTGAGCAACACATTTTAAAATAATAGAGTGAAGAGTTAACAAGATATTGGGAAACACTTCAGACAAATGAAAATGGAAAGAATGTAACAAAATTTGTGAAATGCAACAAAAGTAATACTAAGGAAATAGACGGCTGCCAAATGGATACCTTAAAGCCAAAGATCAAGCTGATAACCTTTCTAGGGACCAGGGGTGGAAAAACAAACCTAAAGGGAAACAAAACAACAAAAGGACTAGTCTTTGAGGATATCCCCAAACTAAAAACATAATGACAACCAATGGCAAAGACCTAGAAGGTTGGAGAGATGGTAGTTCAGTGGTTAAGAGAATACTGCTCTTCCAGATGATCTAAGGTCGGTTCCCAGCACCCATACTGGGTGGCCCACAACCACGAGTAACTCCAGCTTCAGAGGATGTGACACCTCTGCTCTCCATGGTTACCACTCTCAAGTGCACAAACACACAAATTAAAAATGAAGTATCTAAATTATATAACAATAAATTAGGTTAATACAAAAGTTGAAAGATTCCAGGCACAGACAACAAACCAAGATGGAATTATGAAGAAGTATAAAACGTGAAAGTTGATAGTGAGAAAGCTAAATCACTAGTCACAAACCCCTCTCCCAAGCCCACATCAGATGACTTCACCAAAGACTTCTGTCAGATGCTAAAAGTTTAACACAGCGTTTTCTCAGGTTTTACCTAAAAAGCCAAGAGGCAGCAACTCTTCCAAGCTCAGCCAGCCTCTCTCTCTCTCTCTTTTTCTCTCTCTCTTTAGACCAGGCTAGCCTCAAGCTCACCTGCCTCTGCCTCCCAAGTGCTGGGATTAAAGTCATGAACCGTCACCACCCAGCAAAAGCTCAGTCTCTTAACGTCATCAGCCTGACAGCAAACAAGAAACAATAAGCCCATATTCCTGATGCATATTGATTCAAGAAACAAAACCCTCAAAATTATTAGCAAAGTTGAGTTAATATATGAAAATCGGTCAGTGTAGCATATCACATTAATAATGGCGGGGAAACACCATGTGGTTATCAAAGCATTTGCTATCCATCACTTAGATCATAAGACAATCAACAAATCAGAAAGAAATTAACCTAAGCTAGTAAGATGACTCGGTGGGTAAAGGAGCCTGATGACCTGAGCTTGGTCCTGGGGACCCAGATGATGGAAGGAGAGGAAAAGTCCTTTAGGTTGTCCTCTGACCTCTGCATACATGCACGCACACACACACACACACACACACACACACACACACACACACAACACTGTCACAGATCATGCACACATACTATAATAATGGCATTTAAAAACTTTACATTTCAATGGCAGTTTTTACCGAATCAGTAACATTACATTGAATATCTATGGACTTCAATTAGTTAAATGACCAAACTCAAATAATGTTACTTTATTTTTAAATATATTACAAAGCTATATAATCACAGACCAGGGTTGCACTGACTTAAAGAGACAAGTCAAATTGAGAACTGGAATGGGGCCCAGAAATAAAGTCTCTCACATGTGGTCAAGTAAAGGCCCCAAAAGGCTGCCAAGAACAGATGACACACAAGGTAGTCTCTTCAACAAACGGTATTAGGAAAAACGGGTATCCACTTAGACAACATTGAAATTAATCCCTAAGTATTATAACTTACAAAAGTTAAGAGGAATTAGCTTTAAATTCTTAGTTTTAATGGAAATTAAAAACCTAAAATCATAAATGTCCAAGATGAAAATATCAGGGAACAACTGAGCATTGGTGGTGCACGCCTTTAATCCCAGCATTCAGAAGGCAGAGGCTTGAGGCCAGCCTGGTCTATAGAGTGA